AATGTCTAGGGAGAGACTCCTACTGATCTGTTACTGCCTAACAGACTGCCCACAGTATAACTTCAACATGTTTCTGTTTAACTTCTAGACGCGTGCAGAAAGCCTTTTGAACCTGGGAGCCTTGACAACATGGAAATTATCCTCTATTTTTAGTAAAACGTTGTTTTTGCCTGACCTGAACTTGTAACCTCCCGAGTTTTCATGTCACTGTACAACACAAGACTTTGTGTTGAAATGTGCCACCCCACCTACTCCATGTCCTGCATGTTTTTCAAGCAGAATTGACTGTATACAGCTCAACAGTGTACTCAGCACCTTGCCATAAGCGACGTAAGATATCGCCTTACGCCCTGCCAGGATAGCTTACATCTGGCCGAACCACATTGTATATTTACCACAACTGAAACATATTATGGCGAGGAATTCGGCGTGGAATGTTCGGACTCCGCGCGCCGGACGAGATATTATTGTTTGGGCGTCGCGCACACAGTGTTCCACATCTAATCATGACCGGCTGCCATGTTTGCAAACAGTTTTCCATTTTCTGCGGTTTGAATGGGAACCCTTGAACTGCTTGGTGGCGTGCCAGAAGAGGGCCTGCCCCTCGCTTTGTAGCAGGAATGTGACAGCTCGCTTAGAGGGCCCGGTTACACTGTGGACACAAAACCTTTGCTACTGACGATTAGTCAAAATAACTGACAGGATGGAGGCAAACACTTAAATCTGACCGTGGCTCTTCTCAAGGGTTTGGGCAGCTGGAGCTTAAACCAATCAGTGCTTTAACCAATCAGAACTCCTCCTGGCCACTCACTTACTAGTTAGTAATTGGCTTGTCTCCGTGTGATCGACACAGCAATCAAGCGACCTTAACCTTGTAGCAACTCATGTATCATTTTTATCCAATTAAGTAGCCAAATGTATAGAGTAACACTAAGATCAAAAAGTCTTCTCATTAGGTTTGATTCAACAATATGTGTTTATTGATAGTTAGGACTAAACAAAAATATACAAGACCGAATGAAATCCTCATAAACACTTCTTATCGAATTCAAGGACAAACAGTACATGTCCATGCATAAGGCATAGACTAGTGATAAAGCTTTTCAAATACAAATCTCTAGACTATACTATAGTCTAGAAAGTTTTATCACTATACTGCAATGCCCTTTAGTTTTCAGTACATAAGTTATCACTAAAATATATGAAATAACTCTCAAGGCATAGGACTTTGTCTAACATGTGATGTTCTGTATCTTTTTTTCATCAAATTTATGACTTGACAGCTGTTCGTGGCCATAGTAAAACGTGTATAGTTAATGTTGCCATTCTTTGTTTGTTCATTTGTTTGTTTAGATGGTAGCCTCTAAGTACCTGTATGACGAGGGAGAAGATGAAGAGGTCTTCAATGATGAATGGGCTGAAGCAGGTGAGGACAGATGTTTTTGTTCTGTTACATTTATTTATTCTATACAGTTGAAAGAAATAAGAACAATGACATTAGACAATATGCTAGAAAATGAAGGAAACCTGTTAACATATTAGGTTTTTAGTGAAGTGGTAGAAATACCTTATATCAGTGTTCTGCAAGTGTCAAAATTTTGTTCTGCAATTCGGAAATACTTTCTGCAAATACACGCAAAAATACATGCAAAATTACTTGTAAACATTAGTAAACACAAAAGCTCTTAAACACCATTGAACCCCTGATTTTTTTCAGTCTGCAAAATTGCAGGTTGCCTAATTTTTATTCTGCAATATTGCAAATGTCTCTGCAACATGCAGACTGCAGATGGGTATTTCTAACACTGAAGTGTATATAGTCCTTATGTAACATAGTGTAACAATGATGAAACTAATGGTGTACATTCATGTCTCTATATTTTATGACTTGACTACAGGTAAACGTGATGTGGAGGAGGTCAACACACTTGAGGCCAGCTTTCTCGTCGCCATGGTAATTTCTCAAGATAATTGAAATATAAAAGTACCAAAAGAGCATCAAATGCTACGTTTTCAACAATGTCAATGGGTTGATGGCAATGCTCATTTTTTCTCATTCTCTCAGGTCTCAATCTATCTAGTCTCAATGTTGCTGTCAAGATTGATGTAATATCTTTGGAATACAGCTTTGTATCAATATCTAAAATACCACACGTCATTATGTTTGTGCTTAAAATTGGTTTTCAAAACCTTCTTTTATGGACACCAACTGAAAGACAAGATATATGTGGATTTCATAACACGTGAAGGAATTTGGTTTGAAAAAATGTGTACAGATGAGGTTCTAGGTAGGTGTATGTAGGGTACAGGCATTTTTGCATCTGTGCTTGATGAGTGCAAAATGAGTTTTGTAGGAAGACCGTGTAGTCTTTTGCAGGTGGCTTGTACATCAATACAAATTATTCCTTCCATTAAGCAGAGAAACCGCCGGTTAATCTAACCCCTTCCACTCCACTAGTCATCGCGCCTTTTCAGCTGTCAGAAACACGGCTCTGTTTTGTGTCAAAACATGGAGGGTACTTATTGAGAACTGGCTATGATTGCATTTTTGACACCTGTGCTGTGAGGGCCTCAGAGGTCACCCCTAGCTCTGGGCAGTTTGTACGATTAGATCTCACCCGCCCTGCGGAAGAACAATAGAGGGAGATAGCGATCGGAACAATTGCTGTTAATTGCTTCGGTAGCTGTGATTTGATCTTTCGCTGTTTGGGAGGTGTAAATGTTACCTTAAATGTCTCCTTTCTTTCAGGATGAGCCACAGGATTATAAGCTAGAGGCACAGGTGTGGTGAGGGCCGCATATGAGTTATTCCACATCAATGTTTCAGTACAGCATCTTTCACAACATCAAAGTAAAGCATTTTTTGCTCTCACTGACTTGAAGAGTGCACCCAAAACAACACCTCCATTCAGGACTTTAAAAGATAAAATGAAACAGGAGTTTACAGTCAACAAGTCGGGTAGGAGATGTGGGAATGGCGCGAGATAGGCAGGGAACGACATGTGTGTTCATGTTGTGTTACTGAGTCATGAGAAAAGTGCTTCCCTTTTTAACAAATGTGGCTGCGAGTGTCAACACCCAGGACAGGTAAGAGTCTTCTTTAACCGAGATCGGTTACAAAGGAGAGTATTTTCACAGGAAAGGGGCCATTGTTAGCTCCGAAAGATGGATGTCTGTTGTTGGAGGGACTTGTATGGTGGGAAAGGAAGTCCCCTCTTTGATGGTTGTTACATGTACATAAACAACTGGTTATCTCCCAATGATATCTGGCACCACCAAAGAGACCGAGCCACACTCTTGTGCAGCTACAGTGACAGACGCCCCAGGCTATCTTCTGAGTGCAGCTCAAACTATTTCTTGTCTAACAGCGACCCCTACATTGTAGACAGCATGGCAGTCTCCAGGCTATGGTACAACTATCTGAGGCAAAACTAGACAAATGTGTTTTAAATGATTAGTCAGACATACAGTTGTATCATCATAATCCATTCCAGTAAGGGCTTGAAATCAAAATTAATGTATCATAAAAATGTACCACAAACAAATATGGTATAGTATAGGGAAACTAGTATTTGCGTGTGGCAGCCTTTGGTTCATTAAGTAATGGTACAAATACAGAGGCTAGAAAGAGGATAGAAGCTAGAACAATATATTTTCAATCAATGGTTAGACACATTGTCATAATCCATTCCAGTGAGTAAGGGCTCGAAATCAAATTACAAATGTATCATAAAAAACAACCACAAACATGATAGAGTGTAGTATAGGGATTCTAGTAATTGTATGTGAATATATAGTGTGTCTGTGTGTGATAGCACGTAAGTATTGGTGTATGTGTATGTGTATGTCACTGTGTATGCATGTGTGTATGAATGTGTGTGTGTGTGTGTGTGTGTGTGTGTGTGTGTGTGTGTGTACATGTTGTACAACGTAGTTACTAGTATTTTTCATAAACTAAAAAGTTGTTTTGCAACGTAAGGCCAAAGGGATCCATCCTTGGTCCAACACCTAATTCTATGGTACTTTTGAACCCTGCAATCTATAGAATTGGCCTTCCTCCACACCTTTTTCTGACTATTGAAGTAGAAAGATCCTAACAGATAAGCCGTCAGCTGTATTGTAGTCTCGCTAACTCCTCAAACTGGCGGCCTGGATTAAAAAAAGCCGTGCTGTCAATCAGCAAGTTGGGTTGTGTGTAGGGACAAGGTGGTTTCAGTGGGCAATATAATGGTCTGCACCTGTGGCTTAACCTGCAAATGTCAAGGTTAGAACTGCCGCTTAATCTGTCAGTAAAGGATAATAGAGCATTAGGAAGGAGAGGACCATTGCTGTAAGTTACATCAGCACCTGCGCGAAACCCTGATTTTTCACGGATGTCGTCAGATTTTTTGTTAATGTTGCATCAGAATTTTGCGTGTTGCAGAAGACATCTTTTCCAACTTAACATTTGGAAACTACAGATGGGATGTTAACATTTCCAACATTTTGGGGGCATGTTTAGTTGAAGCTTAGTTGAATGACATCTTCTCCCATCTCTTTACACAATGAGTTTTGTCTATCAAAGATGACCAGATTGGGCAAAATTTCGTCTGTCACGAGCAGCAAAATTCCAACAAATGACAGAAAGATACTAGTAGATGCTGGCTAGAACACTCTGCATTACATGGTAACAACAAAACAGACATTGCTGTCTGTCAATAGAATCATTGCTTCCTTTCCATTTTAGATCTTTTGTTTATCACTCCAGTCAAAAATCACTACTCCAGAACACCTGTAGAATAGATCTGATATTAGGATTATCAGTATCTTGACCCAAAAGACCCAGTAATTTTTGCTATACAAAGTTATGTCCAGTGAATGATCGCAGTCATGGTATTAGAATTTTGTTAAGCCATTGATTGTAAGTTACTAAATACCAGTTCCACCCACTTCCACCTGTAGTCATTACCTGTAAAGTTACCGATTAAGAGCAGAGATTAGGCCACACCAATTTAATTTGTTGGTTCTCGGATTCGCCTCTTCGTTTTTTTCTGATTTGCAAAAAAAAAAAAATTGATTCTGGCCCTGAATCAACTGAAAAATGCTCATGTTTTGCCCCCAACAGTTGAGGAAAGTCCTTTTCTTCCTAGTTGTTACAGTTTTCCCATCTATCATTGCAGTGGTTTGATTAAAAGTTCAAAATTCAATGTTTAAATTTTAACCCAGCCTTTTGTGTTGACTTCATGGCTCATTTTGTAGCATTTAAGCCTATAATTGGATGCCTAGACCTGTTTTTATTTTTTTTCGCCCTGTCGCTTCATATTTTTTCTAAAAAAATCCGAGAACCAACAAATTAAATTGGTGTGGCCTTAGTAGTGAATAGAGCAGGGAAAGTTGAAGGAAGGGAAGTTTTAAGAAGATAATTGTCAAGGGACAAAGGGATATACAGGTGCGAGAAGACAGAGGACAGGAGAGAAAGAAAACTTGAGTAGCAAGAATTTCAAATGTGATCACCTTTAATTTGGAATTTCCTTTCACATTCTTGATGTGCAAAGCCCTTTCTTTAATTTCTTAGGATCAAAAATATGTTAGTGGTGAAAAATAGGAAAAGACAAAATGAGGAAACTGATGGTACCAAATAAATGTTGAGTATGTTTTATGATAGCAGCAGATATTTTTGAGAGGATGCAGGATTCGGGAGCTATAATAGGTTTGGTAACAAGGCTAAAGATAATGAAACCTAAGTAGAACTTTACAAATTAGTCCCTCCGTCACCATTTTCAAAAATCATACTAAAGCAACTTTCATAAATAACCCCACACATTCTTAATTTTTGTTTAAGTTTCCTTGTTTACTACTTTTCATTACTACTTTTCATTATTGTAGATAGTATTGTATCGTATTGTATTTTATTGTTTTGTTTCATTTACCCGTTACCTAGTAAGTTATTTCTTATTTATCCGATTAATTTGAATTGTTAATTAAGTTATGAAGGGAGGCCTCCTCATAAGCATTTTATGCTTCCGGCCTCCCTGCACTGTCACATTTCATTTATATTTTCTTGTGTCTGTATTTTGTTTTAAAGTGCGAATAAAAACTGAACTGAAAAAATGTATATTAGTGTAGAACAAAGGTTGCAAATGAGTAGCAGTTCCATTTTTAATGTTAACCACTACAATAGCTAATGTCTAACATAACTGTACATGTCATTCATAATTTTTTCTTTCTTTCCAGGACTGGCAGCTGTTCACTCGTCCAGAGGAGTTCCTACTGTATGTGAATTTGCTGGAGGCCAGGTACGTCACAGGGTTCAAAAGACATGGGTTCTAATCCCGTGTCAACTTGGTGGAGAGGTATCCAGCCTATCCCAGCTTGACATCATTTAACCTAGCTGTCACTCAAGGTTTTGTAGGATTTCTTTGAGAAGTCTAGAGGAGGAATCTGGTTAAGAAAGACTGGCGTGTCAATCAGTATTATTCTTCAAGTGGCTAAACAGCTATCTGAAGGAAAATGAATGTGCTCAAACACATAGCACATACACAATGAACAAGAAAATAGTTATGCAAGCAACTGGATAAATTTTGAAAACTGTCAGACACTTCAGCTTGCATCCACTACATTTTGTCAGTTTTGAATATCTAGTATCTATCCAGTTGCTTGAGTAACAGTTTTCTCGCGTATCTTATTACCTGCATGTCTAACCTTCACCAATATATCACAAAGACAATGATGTGAAAGGATTAAAGCTATCCTTTTTGAATAAAAGACTTGTTCATCACAAGAAACAGTACTGAAGCAACTTGATAGATTTTGAAAACTCTCAGACATTCCAAGTAGCATCCACTACTTTTCCTCATTCTGAGTAACTGTTTTCTTGTGTATCTCATTACCTGGATGTCTAACCTTCATCGACATGACATGTTCACCAGTTGAGCGAAGTTACCTTATGAAACATCAGACCTCCCAAAGTGGTAGAGCACAGTTGAGAACACGCAAGTCACTCACAGTGACAGTTTGATAAGCCAGGATCCCGGCTGGTATGCCCAAGTCTAACCATTATAGTACAGTACAGCTGAACCTGACGGGTTAGGATTAGTGTCCATTGTAGTCCTTACAGTGAATCAGACAGGTGAAAGACTAGAGGATGTGGTATTCTGTTGAGCTAACACAATAAGTGTGTGGGTGATGTGCTTTCATTGGTTTCAATACAGAGCAGTTTTCCCAAACCTTTTGAATGTTATCCTTTTCCTAATATGTTGGCTGTAAAAGTTAGACCTTGCCAGCCATAATATTTTGTTATCATATTGTGTCAGTTTGAAGAGGTTTTTTGCCTATATTTATGACTTGCTCCTCAAACCATGTCCTGAAGGTGACCATACGTATGTAAGAACGCTCGGGTTTTTTTGCCTGTATTATGGTGTATACAATGTACATTTGTACATAGTAGTTTGGTGAAGGGTAGACTGTACATAGTGTCTGTCTTTTGTGTTAAGTCCAGTGGAAGAGAATCCTTGATGAGCCAAAGCTGGATAAAAAGAGGTTTCTTTTTTTTCCGATTTTCAGGATAGCGGTAATGGAGGGGCGTCGGAGAGGCTGGTTCTCGTACACGGACATGTGGGCGCTATGGCAACAGGCGCGGCTGTGGGACAACATGGCTGCCACCGCACAGTGGATGGTGGAGGTAAAGACACAGCAAAGAACTTTTCAGGATCAAGCCTGCTTCTGCAACATCATATTTGAAATGTGGGGTCGTGTGGCGCAACAGCAGCGTGCTCGACTCAGAACCAAGAGGTCCCGGGTTCGAGTCCTGACATGCCACCGATCTTGTGCCCTTGGGAAAGGCACTTTACATGACCTTCCCCACTAAACTCAAGTGAAAATGAGTATTTTCCCATCCTGTATTTGTTTCTATGTGCGGGACACAACACCAGCAACAGCTGCCTGTGTCCCATGTGTTCCAATTTCAATAAATCAAATCATATTTAACCCTTCCCAGCCCACGACCTATGAAAAGCTGACATAGCAGTATCAATATTAAACTGATAGTTAAGTGCCCACCTTCCCGGTGTGAATGGTTCAAACCTTACAGTCTGGTCTCAGGGTTGACATCTTGACGAGGTGACAGTCACCTGTTATGTCAATCCTTCCACAAATGTGGTATAGCTTCATACATAGAGCCAATATGTATGTTGCAGCTGTGTTCACTCACTCACAGCCAGACCCACAAAGGAGTTGATAAAAACCCAAAAGAGAAAAAAAAATTGCCAGCAGCTAATAACAGTGACCCCCACTTCATTTCATTTCACAGAAAATTGGGTTTCAATTTGGTGGAAGCAATTTGCTGGGAAAAGCCTGTTCCAATGGCTGCGTGTGCCTGGGTTTGGGGTCAAGGGTGCACATTCCATGACTAATGCAGTTTGTCGTTTGGTAGGGAGCAATTTGTTGGGCGGTCGTGCGTGGCTGTTCCCTATGGCACTTTTGGAGAAAGAAACAGGCACTTACATAGCACTGTTGTCTTATCTGGTGTCGTCACAAGCTCAAATGAGTCTTGCTTGAGTTAGCAGTTGAGTTGACTTCATTGAATACAGGACTAAAACCTTATGATTCCTTTTATGATGGTCAGTTTTAACGAAATCACACACTTACTCTCGCTCAGTCCCATAACTGTTAGCATTAGGGTCAGTCTGTCTATCCACAAATGCAGTAGTTTTTATCCAAATGATATCAGATTCATGTAGTAGTTTTGCTGTAACCATGGTTGAAAATTCCTCCACAGCTCATGTGTTGTGTCGTGTTACCACAGGTAATGTGCCTGTGCATGCTGGCCTACAGCGCCTGTGTCGCAGCTCTCGTCGGCACCGCGTCTGTCGCCCACCACGCCTCCCAGCTGACCTCTGACCTCATCACAGCCCCCGCCACCGCCCCAGCCACCCGGGAGGCAGCCTGGCTCAAACCGGTGGGAACCGGCTCTGACCAGCTAGCACCGGAAGAGGCCGGTTGTGAGGAGATGATGTCAGAAGAAGAGGTGTCCAGCCTTCTGGTCACCATTCCCCGCATCCGAGATTCCGTCCTGGAATTCTCCAGCGCCGTCCTGAATGGCGTAGATGGAAACACCGACAGGTTGGGACCGGTTGGAACTAGTTTGGTTGTCATAGGGACCGACACGGGCCAGTCAGAACTGGTTAGAAGTAGCCAGTTCTGGAACAGACCGTACGGAGGGACTAGCGGAGACCTGGCCTTAGACCTGTTTGGTCACCATGCCAACGACACCAGGTACCTGCCTGCGCAGATGAAGAGGATACGCACAGGTGACGGACAGAGGGATTCCCACAAGGTGTTCCCGAGACACGACGACGCGTGTAAGGACGACAAGTGCATCTCGAGAAAGTACCTCCTGGTTCCGTCGTACCACGACATCGTGGTGGGATGTAGCACGCAGTCTTTTCCTCAGCCTGTCATAACCGCATGAAAAATGGAAGGGGTGTATGGGGCCATTCCATTCGACAATGTTGAGAGGGGTGTTAAACATGAGTATGTTTAGGACTATCTTGAGGGCTTTTATAGAAAAATACAACAACAAATGGTTGAAAAAAAAAGAATAGGGAAGAGAGGTGTTCGCAATTTTCCCTGAACAATCCACACTACCTAAATCCCCCGCATTTGTGGTAATGCTCTTTTTATACTCATTTTGTCAGTTCTAATATGATATGTGCAGTGGTAAGGGAATAGGTGCTGGTGTACAAATGTAATTATAAATGATGACTGTAATTCAGCATAAATTCATAAATGTAATTTTTTGATACTCTTCAGCTATCATACAAGTGTTCTTAAATGGCCAGTGCAAAAATTGTTTCCAAATTGTTCAGAAATAATCTGTGGAGATAATGTTCAGTGGTGAACTACTCCACAACAGATTGCAATGTACCATGTTGTATATAGAATCTGTACTAATAAGGCCACACCAATTTAATTTCTTGGTTAACGGATTCGCCTCTTCATTTTTTCTGATTTGCAAATAAAAATAAAAATTCAGAATCAACTGCAAAATGCTCATATTTTGCCCTGAACAGTTGAAAACAGTCCTTTTCATCCTACTTGTTACAGTTATTCCATCTCTCAATGCAATGGTATCATTAAAAGTTCAAAATTCATTGTTAAATTTTGAACCAGCCTGGTGTGTTGACTTCATGGCTCATATCGTACCATTTTGGACCATAATAGGATGCCTAGGCCTGTTTTTATTTTTTTTTTTTTCGCCCGCCCGCTCCATTATTTTTCTGGAAAAATCCGTTAACCAAGAAATTAAATTGGTGTGGCCTAATGTGTGACTGTTTTTAAAATATAGTGAGATAGATGTCACAGTGTTGTATTTTTTAAGGGTTTGTACAAGGAGTTTGGCAGTGTTGAAACCTCATAACCTCATGTGTTAGAAATAGTGTTCATGCAATATAAAGTTCAACTTGGCATGGATGTTTTAAAATGTGGATGGAGCTGGTGTTTTAACCCATGTGTTAAGGCCACACAAATGTTGATACATACTTTTACAATTTTTTTATTGTATCCTGGGTATGATAGGTAGTGGCCTGAGATTGCTGTTGTCTTTGGAAGGGTAAATGAAGAGAGTGCGACAAGGTTTTTTTATAAGTTTTTATTTAATAGCCAACTAGTCCAGTATTGGCAGTTAGCAGTCAAAACTGTTTTATGCAGTAAAAGAAAAGTAATGTCACAAAAGATATGAACGCTCATATCGCAGTATTATAAAATGTAACGGGTATGTTTGGGGTGACATTGGGATGACTATTTATGTATACTTTCCAAAAATTGTGTAATTTATTGATACATATTACAACTTTTTAACGAGCACTGAAGGAGTCATTTCCTGAGACTAATGTGATGGTTAGATTTGTATTTTACATTGTTGTCTAACTTATGTATTGCCATAGATTCAGTGTCATAGGTGCTAATGTAAGGAAATGTTACTGCATTTTCCTGTGAATTTTTTGTACTATCAAGGACCACATGTTTGTTGTATTAAAACTACATCTCTGGTTTTACATGTTTTGTTGTTTTCTTGAATTTTAGATATTGAAATTTGAGCTAACTTGTTCCTTTCATGGTTCCTACAGTTGTACATTGTCTTCTTTACCCTTTACAGTAATGCTATGAAGAAAACAGTGTGTAATCAAACAGCAATATCTGTTGCAGTCACCAACATCACAGCGGAATAACATGGCCTGGCATTACCCACCAAAAATAAGGTAAAGTTAATGTTTATAGAAGAACTTTATTGCACGACAAATGCACATGGTACATTGTATGGCAAACTACATAAAGACAGTAACAACAATAAAATAAGTGTGTTGAATAAGACCTAATGTCGAATAAAACCTAACATATCTATATCATAATCATTCAAATAATAAGGGATATTACAAGTCGTTGATAAAGTGTTACAATCAAGTGGGCTAATCACAAGTTTTAGAATTTTTTCTAATAGCAAAGCATTCCTTTATATATCTACCTATTTTTGCGTTGTGGGGACCGTTACATGTAAAGATATATTCAAATCTGTCTCCAACATCGAGACTCTTAAAATCTATGGTACTTGATTCGAGAAATGTAAATAGCTTGTTACGTATAACATCATATTTGGTACATTCCATAACAACATGAAATTCATTTTCTATATGCTTTGGACAAATATAAGAATATGTTTATTACATGTACTTAGTTATATTTGTAATCAAGGATTGATTTAGTTGTGATAATTTTTGTTCGGTGCCCTTTTGTCTTGAATCATTCTTAGGTACTTTAATTGTTCAATCTCTGGACTGCACAGGTCTAACTAACAAATGGTGTGCTGCTATCCTAGAAGAATCCACATGGTGGCGCTGCTACACGGTGTACTTTTCTATGCACCGGTTTCCGTGAAAATGCGTATTTTACACGATGTTAACTGCTATAAGTGAAGCAGGAAGTAGTCTGATTGTCTCATATCAATGTAAAAGTATGTAAGTACATTTGTACATGAAATGTTGCTTTGTTATTAGAAAAGATACTGAAACCAACAATTAAACCCACCTGGTTGTAGCATGATATTACAAATTTAATTACTTTAGCCCTAATTCCTTAGTAAGTATGATTTAAGGATTCATCTTGTGTTTCTATTTTGTAGTTGACCTTACAAAAGTCTACTCTTCTTGCATTAATACAGCTTCATATGCAGACACAGGAACATCACCAACGCTGTAACCCAGACAAGCCAGCCACTGTAAGGAGGAAATACAACAAGGATGAAGGAAAGTATGTGTATTATCTATGGTTTAGGTACCTATGTGCTAAGGCAAAATGAAGCAATGATCAGACATTGGGTAAATAAAGGTCAGCGCCTAACACGTGTTTCAGCACCAAGGAGAGTACCCAGCATCCTTTTCGAGATTCATGTTGCACTCCTGTCTGACCATATATATGAATGTATTTGAGTAAGAATTAACAGAGCAGACCATATGCGAAGGTAAACATTATGCATTTCCTTTGCAAATGTTACCTTTCTAGTGTCTATTGCTATTGTCACAAACTGTTCCTCTAACACCCTTACCGATGCGCTGCTAGCCGCTGCGGCGGGCCTGCCCGGCTCGGTACCTGCACCCCGCCTGCACCGTACGTGTCCGGGCTGTACACATCAGTCCGGCGGCAGGTCCCGGGCCAGACCCCGCCGGCGGACACGTGTGCCCCCCCGGTCGGCTCGCCCGGCCCCACCACCTGCACAACTCCCGACATCCCGTGGTCAGAGTGGAACAGGGTGTGGCAGTGCACGTACAGCGGGCCCCTGTACCTGGAAAATATATCGTGAAGGCTGTGTTTAAATTTTGTACTAGTAAACTTAATGGTGTACTGTTATTCTAGCATAATTCGTATGATGGCGCTGCTAGACGGTGTGCTTTTCTATTTACGGTTAAGTGAAGCATAGTTCCCTACCTGTGTAGTTGTAGCCGGATGGTGACGTTACTAAGCGGCGGGTTTGGTGGAAAAAAATCCAGTGCAAAAGACAAAACCCTGATTTTAAAAAAAAAGCCTATAAAAACGCTAAAAATAATCCCAAGCCCAAACCTCTGCTTGGAGAGTATAGAAATCGGGCAAATAGAGAGATCGCATGCCGCAGACAAACTCCCCTGGCATGTTATCTCTCTATTTGCCCGATTTCTACTCTTTGCAGCCGCCACCCGAAGCCTGGTAGAGGCTAACCGGTAGGCAAAATTCCCTACCTGTGTAGTTGTAGCCGGATGGTGACGTTACTAAGCGGCGGGATGATGACCGTGTCCCGCCACTGACCCACAGGGTTGTAGATGGACTTCTCGTCCGTCCACGTCTCGTTCCAGGCGTGAGTTAGGACCAGAGGGAGACGGTCCGGCGTGGGCAGCGGAGGCGTCAAACCCCGGGTACTGCCGGTAACACATCTTACCCTTTGGGCAAGGGAACGTCAAGGTCATTTTTTTTTTATTCCAACATGTAGTCACAAGACGTGGTGACGGCACACTCAAGTTTTTTCAACACCAACAATACAATACTCATTTTCACCTGAGCCAAGTGAGGAAAGTCATGTAAAATGCATTTCCCAAGGGCACAGGATCGGTGGCATGTCAGGACTCGAACCCGGGACGACCTCTTGATTCCGAGTTGAGCACTCTGCCGCTACGCCACACGATCCCACGACCCCAAGGTCAAATTCACAAGGAAATTGTTACTCAAGCAACTGGGTTGATTTTCAAAATCTCATGACCTGTCTTAACTTGTTCGAAATATCCAAGGTCAAATGGGAGGCCATGGATAGGCTAAACATTTTGGATCTAACTTCGGTAAATCTCTTATTCTACACCTCAAGTTGGTATAAAGACACGTTATTGTTTGTTTCACAGTGTCAAATTTAATCCAGTCACGAACTAGTTGATAGATCTGATGACACTCTTTGCTATCACAATTTTAGTTCAGAGTAACACCAAGGAAAATAAGATAAAATCACGGTACATCAAATGTACCTGTAAGTCAAAATACGCCCTGGATGCTAGGCCGACGAAGACGTCAAGATGTCCGTATGGGCCTTCGTACTTGTTGTAGGACATCACTTGGAAATGGTGGACGTGTGGGTGGAACGGGTGCACCTTCAGGGGGTTGGTGTTCAGAATGTGCCACTCCTGAAAAAGGGGGGGAGGGTATTTTACGACTCAAATCCAGAACGAGCAAGTTTAAAGGCATCCAAGGCAGTTTTAGGGCTTGGAAACCTGATTTTTCTAAGTCAATATTCTAGTCACTTATCTACATACTGAGTTGAAACCACACTTTCCCAATGTGTATTGACTCTCGAGGAGCAAAAAATACTGAATGAAAATGGCTACTGGAAGGACCCTGAGATGATTTTTAGGGCAACACCCAGAAAATAAAGGACTCGTCTTGAGGCTTGTTTCTGCAGTTTTAGATAGTCAAAGTATGAAATGCTGATTGAAATGTAAAGCAGTATGTGTCAATATCATAATAATTGCCTTGTTCAGAATGTTTCCAGGTTTGCTGCTCTGAAATCGCATTGGAGGAGACATAAGAAAAATAGCTACACGCTACCATTGCAAAATTTCCGCCATGTTCCCGACTGACCTGATACGTGTCCACCTCGGCCTTGTACCTGTAGTAAGTCGGGGAGACGTACGGTTGACGGTTAAATTCAAATCCTGGCCCAAACTCAACCACGAACCTCCCTTGGATCTAGTGTAAAGAAGTGTCAATCATGTTGGAGTATACGGTACTATACCTGCGCCTTGAATACAAAATGTGAACAGTAGGTAACACCATACAATGTACGGAAGTCTCCTCGCGTTTTAAAGCTTATCTTGTTAAGCTTTGAGCAGTTTGAAATCCTCAGCAATTGCGATACGTCTATTCCTCCAAAATATTAGATGCACACGACAATGTCAATGACTTACCTGCTTTTCCGTTAGGTTCCGCAAGTCGGCGTTGTAGGCTGGGCGGGAGGGCAGCTCGTAAGGGAA